CTAGAACCGAAAAAGACTATACTTACAGTGATAACTATCTGGTTAAGATCAGGACAAGAGGGGCTGGAGAGATGGCTTAACAGTTAAGAGCACTGGCTGCTCTTCCAGAGGACCTGGGCTCGATTGCCAGCAACCACACAGTGGCTCACAACTGTCTCTAATTCCAATCCCAAGGGATCTAACACCTTCTTCTGGCCTCCACAGGCACTGCACACACTTGATACACACTTGTTCTGCAGGACAAACACCCATATACATCAATTAAAAGGAAAGGAAAATATATTTTTTTTAAAAAATATCAGTACCAGAAAGAATCATTGAAATCAAGGGTTTGGGGATTAGCTCAGTGGTACTTACCTGGCATGCATATCTAAGGCCCCAGGTTCAATGCCCAGCACCACACACACACATACATACATACATACATACACACACATACAAAGAGAAATATATGCTGTGTGGACATCCATGCTTTTAATCCCAGTGCTCAGGAGGCCTAGGCAGGTGGATCCCTTTGAGTCCACGCCCAGCAAGGTCTACATAGAAAATTCCAGAACAGTCAGGGATACACAGGGAGACCGTGTAGCAAGACAACAACAAAAGATTTTGTGTTTCCTAGTTAGAGTCACCATGCTGTGATAAAACACTATGACCAAAAAGCAACTTGGGAAGGAAAGGGTTTATTTCACTCACACTTCTAGGTAACAGGGAAGTCAGGACAGGAACCTGGAGGCAGGAGCTGATGCAGAGGCCATGGAGAGATTCTGCTTACTGAGAGATTCATGGCTTCCCTCAGCTTGCTTTCTTATAGCACCCAGGACTACCAGCCCAGGGGTGGCTCCACCCACAATGGGCTGAGCCCTTCCCCATCAATCACTAATTAAGAAAATGTCCTACAGAAAGATCATGTGGAAGTATTTTCTCAACTGAGGCTCCCTCCTTTTACATGGTTCTAACATCTGTCTAGTTGACATAAACTAGTCATCACAGTGTGAATGCATGCTACCCCCCATATACAAATATTGAGACAAAGGAAAGTAGAAAAGAAGGAACAAAACAGAATAAGAAGGAGAAGAAGAAGAGAAAGAAGAAGGAAAAAAAGAAGGAGGAGGAGCCTATATGTGAAGAGATAGAGCCTATATGTGAAGAGTCAGGACCAGAACTTATCTATCAACTTGAATAAAAATACAAAAGTTGGGTTCAGGCCATGACTTGGTAAACTGCTTGCCACGAAAGCATGAGGACCTGAGTTCAATTCCCAGGACCCACACCAAAAAGGAAAATTGGGTAAATCCCTATAATCCCAGTACTGGGGAGGTGGATACAAGAACAGATACATGGGGTTGCTGACCAGCAAGTTTAGTTAAACCAGCAAATTTCAGGTTGCAGTAAGAGACCCTGTTGCTGTGCGATGTTTTCTATGCTGTGAATGTGTTGTTCTGATTGGTTAATAAATAAAGTGTTGATTGGCCAAGCAGGAAGTATAGGTGGGACAAGGAGAGAAGAGAATTCTGGGAACAGGAAGGCTGAGTCAGGGACAAGCGGCCAGCTACCGCCATGAGTACCAACATGTAAGATACTGGTAAGCCACGAGCCATGTGGCAAGGTATAGATTTATAGAAATGGGTTAATTTAAGATGTAAGAACAGTTAGCAAGAAGCCTGCCACAGCCATACGGTTTATAAGTAATATAAGTCTCTGTGTGTTTACTTGGTTGGGTCTGAGAGGCTGCGGGACTGGAGGGTGAGAGAGATTTGTCCTGACCATGGGCCAGGCAGGACTGGAGAAAAACTCTAGCTACACTCTGTCTCAAAAAATAAGGTAGAGAGCAACTTAAAAAGATACCCAGCTTTGACATCTGGTCTCAACATACAGCATACATCCTCACATCCATGCATACGTACCTTCAAACACATGAACACACATGAACACATACATGAAAAACACAAAGCTTAATTATGTTATTACAACATAATAAATAAAGGGTATGCAACACCTAACATTGCCACAAGAAAGCTGTTATAGCCCTATCATCATAAGCAAAGCTGACTTCACAAAAGGATCATGAAGACCATCTATAATGATGAACTATGAAATTGCAAAGCACAAAGTAGAATTAACAAGATTAATTGCTGAGTACCTAGATAAGAATCCCTGTTCTCAAGACTGGATACTGTATTGGCCAGTTTTTGCTCTTACGTTGTTTTGGTTTTAAGATGGGGTCACATGTAGCATAGCCTGGGTTCAAACTCACTATGTGGCTGAGGCTGGCCTTGAACTCTTGATCTGCCTGACTCTGCCACTAAATACTGGGTTACAGGCATGTCACCATACCGCATCATTCTGTTGCTATAACAAAATACCTGAATCTAGGTACTTTAAAAGCAAACAGGGATTTGTTTAGCTTACTGTTTTTTTTTTTTTTTTTTTTTTTTTTTTTTTTTTTTTT